ATACTGATGCCCACGTTCACAGATATGGACCAGCCTGACGTCACTCTACAGCTCTCAGAGTTTATCAGACAATTCTAAACAGGACACCTGCCAATTGTGTCACCTCACTATAACAGCATATCATGTGTCCAGTTGATAATAGTAACAGAGCAGATGCTGTTAAACAGAAATGAAAATACATATTTATTTTGATCTCATGGTGTCTAGTCTTCAGACAAGTACACTGCAAGTGGGTTTCTCAAAAGAGCAGACAAGTCTGACGGCCTGATTTACTAAGAATGGATTGCGACCACGAACAGCTTCAAAAAGAACACTTGTTATCTGCTCTGTCTCAAGGTCTCATTCACAAAGCATCTATCACTTATGGTCCTCAGGTGCAAATTTGCCCATTAGGTTTGCACTTGTTTTGCATCTGAATGTAGAGAGAAGCTGTCTGGACTTTTACTCTGCCACCCCAGACTAATTTAAACCCTGGTTATATTAGTAATAAAGTCATATTTATAGAATTATTTATAGATTATTCATTTTTATGTCATACCTAGGCAGAAGTGTTTTCCTGATCACTTCACAATTTGCATGTGAAATGCATGACTGTGGGGCCGTTGCCACCTTGTCTCAACAGGCAGTCATTTTTGCATTTTAACTGTGTGTGGCTATTTGCTGCAGTATTAGTGAATTACCTGCTTTTTTTTACTATGTATATGATTTGCTTAGCAATATGAATGAGACGGAGTCGTTATGACTCATCTGATCAGAATTAGCCGGTTCAAAAAACACACAATTCTTTTGTGAGTCATGTTTCCAAGATTACCGTAAATATGTATCACATAGCAAAGTGTTTAATCTTGTAACCTTTCAATATTCTGCACATGAAACTGCACGAAGATCAACTCCAGTGCGTGGAGGATTCAGCATAATTCTCAGTTAATCTGAGAAAGTACATTTTTATTTTTCCCTTTGCAATTCTGGAGAATCTACCCTTCAGAATGGATCGATTTAAAAAGTTTCACCTTCTTTGGTGCACAGTTAAAAGGGGTTGTTGCAGCAGCACTTTTTGTTTCAGGGGCCTCGCTGCAAAAACTCTTGTATTTCAAGCCACCAGTGATGCCATTTGACTTAGTCAGTGGTCCAGAACTAAAAGCTATTCCAGTTGGATTTGTGGTCTCCACAATAAAATTAGGATGCCAAATATCAGTGAGGTAGGATACACTGAACTTTGTTTTGACCGACTGGATGCGCAACCATTTATTAGAACAACTGTCTACAGCCGAAGAATTGCAGTGGAGCCAAGTCAAGGTAGATGCTGCTGCACAAGAAAAGAGAACTCAACTTAGTCAGTGAGTTTAGCACACCATCAGAAAAGTACTGTTTCAGTTGACCTCATTTACCACCAACATTCCCTGTTAGTAGCTTGTTACTGTAGGATGAGGTAAGCCTGAAATCAACTGTGTGTCCTTATTCAGGAAGTTAACAAAAAGTGGGAGAATAAGCCCTTCAGTTTGACTAAATCACTCTCAGAAAAATATTCATTTGTTCTCTGAACATCAATTTCTTTCTTTATTTTTGTCCTGTGCTGTTTCCAGCTGTGTAAGTCCTGGATGTGTGGAACAGATTTAAGTAAAATGAAAGATGATGCTAAATCACCTCTGTTTAAGAGAATGAAAGTACCTGTAGTTACAACTCTTTTCATGGCAGTAGCAAAACCACAGGAGTCTGAGGAAGTGGTGTTATTGGAAGTTAAAGACAGAAACAGGCTGTGCAGAAGTCCAGCAGTGTTCATCTTAAACAGTGAAGATGTTTACATTCACAGAGCATGACAACACTCACATCTCACATGTCACATTTGCATGCATACATTACAGTCCGCTCTGCTTTCATTTGACACTGACAATACCACCGCTTGTGGAAGAAAAACAATCTGAGAACATTTTCTGACATTTTTCTGACACAATGGGATCAGACAGAGATGACTGCTCAACTTATTGTATATATTTGTGTTACAAGTCGGAGCAGAGGCAAACTCTAGTCGCAAGAAAATCAATGTAAAGCCGAGGAAAATGTGATGCTTCAATATCGGACACATTTAAGTGATCATCTCATCTACATAGTGTTACAAAGAAAGGAAACCAAACATAGACTTGTTGTTCTGGGGATGCTGCTAATCAATCTGCTACACCTCTTTACTATTTGTAATTCTGACAATCTCTTTGATTGTATATGCAGTATGCAGCATCAGTGCACTTTAGTTAAAGCATAACGCTGAAGCAAAGAGAGTAGACAGAAGTGTGATCAGCAGTGAACACAAACACAGATTGGTCTTTGAAAAGTGAGAGAAAAATCAGAGGGGGTGTCTTTACTAAACACGTCAATCCTCTTTCTGTCATTAATATGAATGTATGATCTCAGACCTAAACAAGGGACCAACAGGCTTTAAATATGAGCAAAGATTAGCACTGTGCAGTTGTTAAACAACAGCATTTTCTATCCTGCATGTATAGCAGGAAATGTTTGAGATTTCATGGGCCTCATGATGTTGAACCTGCAGCTAATTTCCAAATTCTCAAAAAGTCGACAAACTCTGCGTGCGAGTTTGTTCTGCAACTAAAGAAGCCCCGAGGCCTTTTCTCTGTCTAACTATAAATGGTTCTGTTTTGATTCAGTGTATGGAAGCATGATTTGTTTTGTTCCTCAGACAGAAACGCTCTTTATGATTTGTTTATGTTGCAGAGTGTGCATTATTAAAATCAGCCTTGTTGTTTTTCCTCTATCGCGGCATTAGAACAACAGCAACTTCTTGTTTCCTCCCTGTGGTCTGCACATGACTCATATGTCACAAAGCCCCTAAAGCTGTGACATGCATGTGTGTTCTTCTCCACACTTATAAAGAAAGTGTAAGAACAATCCCTCTCACTGCAGCTTACTGAGACAGAGAAACACCGGTGGACTTTGGTTTGTCTGCCAACACTGATACATATACAACAGATTTAGGCACAAATAAATACCACAGTCTGAGTTTGTCCTTCAGGGAAATGTTCTGTTATTTGATCACTGCACAGACGAGTTTCTGACGGATCGAGAAAGATGTGATTTACATCAGTAAATCAGCAGGAAGATCTCTCATCGCATTAAACAGTATTGATGGAATTATTCTGTAAGCAACTCACGGCACACAAATACAGACACAGAGAAACATTCTTGGCATGATCGATATCAAACACACTCCGTGATCAATGTGTGAATTAATTGGGAGTGTCACCACGGCCAGCGTGCTAAGTTGTCAGATATTGTTTTAGAGTCTGCTGACAGATGGTCTGGCTGTACGTACATATCACTTCTCTGTTGCTTTCTGTTTTCTAAACTCGAATTCTGTCTGTGTTGTAGGGATGTCTACTGTAGCTCCTCTTTTTCTGTGTTCGGCTTATTGAGTTTACTTTCTTAATTCAGTGCTTCATCACTGATCAATGTTTTATCACTGTTTTATCTTGACAATTGGACAATTGCCTGAGCACTGTTTTCATGTTAACAGTGGACCCCTGAGGGTTACTGGGAGTTAGAAGAAGAAGAAAAAAAAAACGCCTTGAAATGCTGCCAACAATTTACGCCTCTTGGATCCGGCCTGCCTGGTCCCAGCTCTACTTATTTATAGTGAAGCTGTGTACAGTGAGAGAGAGAGAGAGAGAGAGAGAAAGCGTTTGATGTTAAACTGAGGATGCTTCCCACATCTTAGAAAGCGAGGACACTAGTCAATATTTGGCCCGAGGTTATTTAATTTGGACGAGGAGTTTGATTCATACATTAAAATTTCCAATTACCCTGTCAAGAGATGAGCGAGCCCAGAGGAGGCTGTTTTAATCATACAGCTTTATCAAATGCTTTAAATTGAGTTTAACATGGACAGGATCATACATTCTGCCTCAGGGAAGGTGATACCGCTTAATTTGTCCTAAAGAGTAAACATTTTAAAAATCCATGTTTGACTAGAATTACTTACATGGAATAAAAAGAACTGATCACTGCTTCCCCCCTTCACTCTCTTGGCAGAGAATATGAAAAATGTATAAGTGCTCGTTTCCCCCAATTCTAAATGTCTTTTTTAGATTTAACGATTTATTCCAGCATTTGTATTCTGCTCATGCTCGCCCACGTTGATGAGAAGGTGCTATTCCCTTTCTTCTCTCAAATAATGTTGTGGTCAAGTATGAATCTCACACATGTCTGATCTGCAGGTGGTCACAGCTGGACCTCCTGTCTTACCATTCCTGAATCTATTTCACAAAGATATTACAGAGATCTGAGCCGCTGTCCAATATTTTCCCATTCTGTCTTATCAGCGGAAGGAATGATGTCTGCCATGGCCAACAAAGTATGTGAAAAGTCTCTAAATAAAGCATGAAATTGACGGGACGCCTGTTTAGGTGAGGCAGCCCACGAAGGCATGGGTGCTCTTGCAGCAGGTAGAGGTACAGCTGCTCACCTTCAGACTGCTGCGTGCCTGTCATTTGGACTCCCATTAAAGCGCCTGGCGCTCTGTGTCAACACTTTTAATGCAGAAAAGGACTTCATTCATTTTCCATTAGGAAGACCACACTTTAAAGTCTGCCTACAAGACAAAAATGGCTGCTTATTTTTTCTGCTTCTCCAAAGAGAAATTTGCATACATTGGACTGCGTAAAGAGGAAGAAGTTCCCTCATTTGAGACGTTTGGTCATGGTAGTGTTCAAGTGTCGGATGAAAAGCAGTAAGCAATTTACTTCACTATATGTCAGCTTTCAAAAGCTGCTTCAGGAATCAAGACACGTATCATACGTGTCACCCTGCAGATTATCTAGTGACTGACTTGTATATTGATGAGTTTATGTGTGTGTTTGTGTGTGAGCATGTAATTGTTTATTTTTTCTTTGTGCATGTATGTTTGTATGTGCTGGAGAGTGCATAACACAAAGGAGCTAAAATCTCCAAACAGCTATCGGAAGAGAAGTATAAGAAAGTCTTGAACTCACCAGGGAACTGGTAGCTGTAGCTGGGTGCGAAACCAGTGTATCCGCGGCCATACGTTGCCACAATATTAGGGTAACCTTTGGGGACAGAGATGGAGCAGAAATGAGAAGAGAACTGGAAAAACATTTGAATTAGAAACAGATTAGTACCACATAAAAAAGCACAAGGACATAGCAACTTAAATATCAAATTTAAAGGAGAAATTAATCTGTAATTGCTGCTTTTAAAATGTAACCTCATTTTCTCAGGCAAATTCTAACGTTACAAAACTCTAAACAATTAAAAACAACAATGATCCACTTGAAATAAAATATGAAACATTAAGAGCATAAACTATTTGTTGAAAATAATATTTTTCATCTTTCACTTCCCGAGTGTTTTATGTGTAACTCCAGCTTTATTTGTTGAAGAGAAACCACAATAAGCTAGAAGTGATTTATATTCCCGCTTCCAGTCTGAAGAGGCAGCATGTATTTATCGCTCATAATGTTGATGGTGGCTTGTGCACTGTAACTTGACAACAAGCACCACCCTTACACAATGGTCAGCTGTCACACTGACATTAACCTTCTAATCTCGAACACGCTGCTCTTGTTGCTTGAGAGGTTTTTATAATCTGGCCAGTCAAGAATGATGGCAACAATTACAAGAATTGGACCAGGTTTTTTTTTTTAGAAGATCATTCTTTCATAGAAGGCAATTCGGGTGATTCAAAATGTGAGTTTGACAAAGCTGCTAATACTTCACACAATCTCTCTTTAATCTAAGCAAGTTACCCGTCATGGAGTGACAGTGTGTTGCATTACATTTCAGCAAAGGTTGTACTGACTTTCTCTCCATTTAGTTGTCATTTCTTTTTAATGGTAAGGTTTTAATAATGGTGGTCCTAAAATGGTTTGAAGCCTAACACTGATACGCTCCTGAAACAATAGCTATTGGTTATCAGCCATCTTATTCAGTAAGGTCTCAGACATTCTCATAGCTCTGTGTATGAACACCTGAAGCTGCTGCCTGTGATGATCGGTACATGTTAATGACGGATAATTGTTAAGATGTCTGGGTGACGTTTGTGAATAAGATGCCATGGAAAGAGAGGTGATAACTTCTCCTCATTTGCACCTTTAGCCTGACATTTATATGATGTTTTATAATCCCCTTTTCACAGATATCTTACCTTGTTCTTTATTGTTGCCATATTTAAACCCAACCCCCCTCCCATTTTTTAAACTGTATTTGTGTATGCCCTTAGATATGCCCTTTGCATCCCATTAATCCAGCCTTGCATCCCATTAATCCAGCCATCCAGATATACCTCATAATTCACTTTTTTTGTCTACATCTGTAAATTTTGCAATTACTGTACATAGCACAGAATTACTGTACATAGCACAGACTCTTGCACTTTCTGCTAATTTGCACTTCTGGTGAGATGCCAAACCTCATTTCGTTACTCTATACTTGTATATGTGTAATGACAATAAAGTTGAATCTCATCTCATCTCATAACATTTTCAACTGCTTTTTTAATTGTCTGCTTTATTATTGGGTTTTTAGAGACCCAATCACTAATTTGATGAGGTAAAAAGAATCCACCATGATGATGGAATTCATTAGTATTGATTATAAGATGTTTACCAATTAAAAGCATCAAAAGATTTATGGATCAATTTAGGAAGCAAACAGAATTCTGGTGGTGGTATGTCCCATTTTCAATGTTTTGTATTTGTTTTTTTAGTCCATATGTTTTTTATATGTGTTTTATCTGTATATGAGTCAAAATGTTCCAACTTGTGTTTCATACATAAATCGTCCATAGACAGATATTGCTAAAAGGATGCTAAAAAGGGCATAATCAAGAGGAATCTGTCATCTGTAAACCAAAGTCAAAGTCAGTGTAAGAGCACAGACTTGTTTAGAAGCAGCTCTGTCCCTGGATGGATGAAGAGAACCATCGAGGCCCAAAGAGGAGCCAGTGTCATTAGAAAAATTTAAGAGCAGCAGATGCATTGTTCATCTGCTGTCATGACTCTTATTACAACCACAGACCCAGCAGTTAATTAGCAGGACCGTTTTCAGACAGAAGCAGCTGTGGGCAACATATTGAGGAACAGGGTGCGAGGGAGCAGGAAACAGAGAAGAGGGGAGACATTTGAGAAGAGCGGGTGGGTGGGCGAGCGACCGTGTGAGTCAGTAAAAAATCTGAGCGCCATCAAAAGGTAATATAAACATAATTAACCCTCTAATTATGGTATATGTCTCAGTCGTTATCTGTTTTCCTCAAGCTATTATCACCTTCAACCACAAGTCTGCACTAAATTACCTCATGAGAGGAAGTCCTTTAGGCCAGGAATGAATCACCAGAGCCAACCCTGATAACTCGCTCTTCACTGTGTGTAAGTTACACCAAAAAACTGACCTCGCAAAACCACTTTCAAGCTTTAGTGTCCTCAGTTCGTTTTAGATATGTATTAGCCTGATGAACTGGCTGCAGTTTTAGTTATGTCTGAATGTCTGGATTGTAATTTTTGCTGCAGATTCCTTTACAAACAGCAACAAAAGAGCCAATTCGTTATTCACAAAAAGTGGGTGCTGGCTCCAGGCAAGACATAGTTGTAATAATTTTTAGTTTATTTTACTTTAAATGACTAAGGGGGATTCACTATACAGTATATTCACTCATCTGCCCTTTACGTGTGACTTCAAGCTCAGGATGGGAAGTTCAAATGCTCTCACATGGTCCTACCACTTTATTCCAGGTTATACGTCTTTTCATGTAAGATACCTATTTTTTTTTCCACTGCTAGTCAACAAATGGGCAACTGAAATGCCAATGAACCGTGAGAATTTGGAGGAATATCTGGCCATATTTCAAAGTAAAACTACATGTTTGATTATTGATAATTCCCTTATTTACCATTGTATCTTATCAGACTGCCAAATGCAACTGTAACTCTCAGACATTTCAAAGCTCAAGGTTAAATTATGTAGTTAGTTGCTAATTTGAGCTGTCTGACCACAGCTAAATGGCTAGCTTTGTCTTGTCTAGCAGGAAATATGGCTAGCTATCCTTCTGCAAGCTACTCTTTATTGTCTTTTCAGTAACTGATTGATAGAGAAGAAGCAAAATGAAAATGATTTGACAGATACAAAGAGTCTGAACCACCCATTTAAATAGCATCTTAGCTTCCCACCTTACGCATTCTGTCAGAGGTTTACTACTCTGTATGGGTATTCAAATACAACTTTCTAAATACCTTTAAAACACATATTCTGCATCCGTTCAGCAAATGTTTAACAAGGCATTCATATATTTCCTCCAGAGACTTGTCTTCGTGTGTCCACAGCACGAAGGCATCAATACATATTTTGCATTCATGCATATTTGTGTGTGTGGGGGGGAGTATGTGTGTGAGTGATCGTAGGCTATGTAGGTGTGTGTGTGTGTGTGTGTGTGTGAGAGAGAGAATGATTGCATGTGTGGATGCTCTGTTCTGTATGCCTCAGAGCCTGTGCCAGCTGGAATCAGAAAGGTTGACCTTGGTCATAAATATCTAATCAGTGTTTGCTGTCCATGAAAAAGTTCAATTTATTCCTGACCCAATGGGAAAATGCCTCTCGCAGACCCTTTCCCCCTCGCTCTCTCGCAGACAAAAAAAGAAATGCAACTCAGACAGGCGCCAAGCAGAGCCTTAACCTGGTGTGGATGAAGTAGGGGACGGAGGAAGAAAAAAAGAAATAAAAATCCTCATCAGCTGCAGATGAGAAGTCATCACCGGGAAGCTACAGATGGATGACTTTCACAAAAACCCCAGCCGTGTTTGTTTGGCCTGAAAAGAACTGTGATACGATACAATAAAAAGCTATCCAGACCGCAAAGTATTGGATATTATGTGTTTGATGCTGTCTTACTGTCAAACAGATAAAAATGCCAAACTGAAATTGCAGGCTTAGATACCACAGCTCCTCGTGCTTCCTCATTTCAATATTTTCTGAAAAGTCAAAGGCATTTTCCTACACTGATGTAGTGCATTACAAAGGGGTTTCACATTACCAAATGAAGAATTTGTTGCCAGATGTGTGCACTTAAGACTCTGAGGAGGAAGCTTTACAAAAGAATATGAAAATGTTGGGAGAGTGGATTAAGATACATGTTAAGTTAAGATCGTATCTCATGAAATTCTAAGTGTTTATGTATCTACAAAAATTGCAAGAGTGGGAGAGAGGGAAAAGAGAGAAAAAGAAAGCGTCTTAGCCAATATTTCACTAAATGAAGCCTGCCATTGTGTCTGGCCTGGTTCACAGCCTCTTAGTGTTCTTATTTGCCTTATTAATATGCATGCTAATGTACCTATTTTATGGCTCAACAGTTCTGATTCACTTTAAAATCAATTATCCATCTGGTACACCCATACCTCGCCCGGGCTCAAATGTGTATTAATTTCAGCAAACATACGTCAGGCACAACACAATAAAGATAAATGCCTCGATTAGAGGCGGTAAACAAAGGAGCTAGGGATGGCTTTAATGAGATTTGGCACAAAAGGAGCTTACACTTTCTTAAATAATGAGCCTTGGGTCTTCTTCTTTTTTTTTTTTCCAAATGCAAATTATATAAAGGAATGTTTCGCTGTCCTTGTTCCAATTTCATTTAGATAAGAATGTCTCCAAACAAGTTGGCTGTTAATATTCTCACATGAGCACATCAGTGCCTCTCTGCCCGCCATCTCCCAGCGGAGAGGAAGAGTGGCTTCCTCTTCGTGGAGACATTAGTCTGTAATAAGTTCTGAAAAGTTCACTGGGCTTGTTAAGTACTTCAAACAGATGAGATGCAAAGGAAGGGCGAAGACGGAGCCGGCAGAAGCACTTGGGCAGTCTTATTAACACTTTTACCACAAACAACTGGATAATGAGTCTCATGGCAAGGTGGATGACAGATGTGGACGGATAAAGCACTTGTATAAAGATAAATGGATAGACTGATCTACAGAAAGCCTATGTAATTGGTTCATGGCTTCTCAAATGTCCTCGTTAAAAGACAATGTTCCACAGCTCAATCCGTTACAGGGGCTGCAACTCACAACTATTCTCAGTTTTAAAATCTGCTGATTGATTCATAGGATCAGTGGATTACTTCTCTAATAATTGTAAGGGATTTTTGTGGAAAGCTCATCATATTTTCAAAAGTCCTTAGTGCAATCTAAAAATTCTTCTTTGATGAACGAACAAACAAATCCTTGAAGTAAAAAAAACCCTAAAAACCAAAAGATATTATTAACAATCTTAATTGATTGCACAATCAACAACAAAAAAAATCACAAATATTCTATTTTATTTATGAACTATTTCATGTGGATTATCAAGTATTTCATATACATGGCAATCTACTTTCTGTAGTTCAAGGTTACCATTAATCTTAACAGCTTTATTGAAATCCATCCACTGCCTTGGGTCCATTGTCTATGAAGAAAAATGCAAACCAATAAAAAAGCCATACATTTGACTTGCTTTCTGCTTTCAAAGCTGCTTTAAATGTTATGTTACCTGGCTCCTATAAAAATTCATGACTCCTGCTCGGCCTGCACCTGCTACAAGAGTGAGGGGGAGGGGCTACACGCAGGTCTCATACAATCATCTGCATGTCTCTTTTGCTTTTGAGGGGAAATATAAATCTTTAATGTGAGGGCAAATCCATTTAGTTGGGTCGCACATCCAAATGATATGCTTAGGAGATGTGAACGACATACACAGACAGACTTATAAACAGATGGACAGATAGAAAGAAAGATGGATGGATAGAAAGAGAGAGGGGGGGGGGGTAAGTGGTCGGGTGGGGAGGTCGGGAGGAAGAGGGTGCAATAGTGTTAAATAAAAAGGGCCACAGGCACGGGCTGGATGGTAATGAAGAGAGGTGGGCCAGCAGCTGAGGTCCCTGTAGATGAGATCTCTCTCTGACATGTGTGTCCCCTTCATTACCCATTAAGGGGGGCACAGTGATGAATCCTTAATATGACATTACACCAATTTTCCTCTTCATTTAGCTTGATAATGTGCTGGTCTGCTCCTATATGCCCGGGGGCCGCATGTACCAGACTCACACCAGAAATAGACCGCAGTGGCCACTGGTGGCACACCTTGAAGCAGCCTAATTAGGGGCAGCGCCCACCTAATGGGGCTATCTAGACCAGAGTTTGCATAAGTTGATATTTTTAGAAGGTGGAAACTGATGACCGAATGGCTCGCTTGCCTGATACAGCTTTTGTCACCCTCTAAAGAATGTAATGCCTTTGTTTATTTGGAGCTTTAAAGAAAAAAAATCTAGATTTTTTTTCTTTAAAGAAAGGAATTTAGACTTGTGAAAGGTATAAAAACGTTTTACCTAAAAACTATCCTAGCAGGAGAATTCAGGCTTCTGTCTTTGACATCATTATGTTGTAGGTTCCCTGATGACATCATTTAATTACATTACGTGCAGCTCAAAAGAACGTCTAAATGTATCAGCCTCACGGGGAGCTGCAGCATGCAGGTGAAGATCATTGTTTGGATTATTCTGGAAAAGCTAAAATACACCCATAATATTTACAGAATCACTGAAAAATCTAAGAAAACCTTTAACTATTACATGTTCGAAAAACACTCTAAGTACTGGATCACAATCTGCATGAACAACAATGCATGTATGTATTTCTAATGCAGATGACACTATTAATAAACCTTCTCAATCTCAATAACAAAAATGAATACTGCACAGAATTGTTAATAAAAATGTTATTCATGTGTGTATATTAAGAAATGCTTTACAACTAAATGTGTGAGTGTTTGCATGTTTGTATTGTTTCAAATATATTTTAAATCATTTCATTGATTTGACTACTTTCCTCAAATCAATACCAATGTCTCACACAACCTTTCGGCTTAGTTTGCAAAGTGTATAAATACATAAAGGGAGGGACTCCATGAACAAAAAATACTGATGAATGTATCGGGGGATTAATTATTATGACAGAGTTCAAAGTGTTAAATCCAATCTAAAAATCTCAAAGAGTTTTTTTTTTTTATTGAACTGCATCTCGCATAATCACGACTCCATTTTTTACGATATGCAAACAAAACAAAAACGTCAATAAATGTTCGGAACATTTATTGAAAAATAAATTCTGGACAAAAATGAGATAAACCTCTTCTTCTTCACCTTTTTCCTCTTTTTCTTAATCTATAAAGAGGTATTTGAGGTATATGTGTTAAGGATGAAGTAGGTGTGTGTACTCACTCAGCATGCCCATCCCCAGCATGAAGGCATCCATGGTGTAGGGCAGACCCCTGGCTCGCCCTCGTGTACCGGGTGGGAACATCACCTCCTTGGGCTGGGCCTTCTTACATTCTACCTATGTTGACGGACACACACGCGCACACACACACAGGCACGTGTTCACACACAAAAACACACACAAACAGACAAACTATTAGACTGTGTAGGTACATAAGCAGACAGATCTGACAGGGCTGTCTCAGCTCTTTAAGGTGCTTTTCTATTTGAATAGCACGGCGCTAAATGTTTTCCATAGAGAAAAGGCAAGCCTGAGTCAATCCGAGCACCTCACATTTTAGAGGGAAGTCTCCAAGGAAAACTTACAATCATGCTCCTCCTGCATTAAAGCAAAGGTTGTTGCTCCAGTGAGCATGTGCCCAGTGCCTCAGGGAAATACAAGCTTAATTCTTTCCAAGACTTTCCTGAGACATCAAGGTAGCAGAAGCTCTGTTCTGCAATGCCATTACCTCAGCCCTGAGGTGTGGCAGTATGTCCAGTCTCTTTGTGAAAGGCACTTCTTTGTTTAATCCAGACACAATCATCTCAAAGGCATCCATTTCTCTTGACAAAATCTCTCTTCCGTCACTTTTGTTAAATTTAACTCAAACCATGTCAAAGCAACATGTTTAAGATTTAAATTGAGTGAAAAAAAGAGTTTATGAGCTGTATCCTGTTATTTTTTCTGTAATGGTTCCATGTTAGGCATTGTGTATTTCTGTTTTTTTTTTTTTTTGGGGGGGGGGGGGGGGCAACTCCCTGGTGCCTCACAGTCCAATTCCACCTGCAGCACTCATCTCTCTCCTGCATTTCTTCCCTCTCACTCCCAGCTCTCACACATCCAGGTTTGTTCATTTCCCATCTTGCAAGCCTGACATCTCCTCCTCCTACATAACACATATCAAATGAGGGATGTGACAGGGGCAGATGAGGAGAAGGAGGAAGATGAGAGTCCTATTTACCACACATCTATCCTATCTGGTTGAATTATAGAGAGGCGCGATCGCCGCGGAGGGGTGGCACCGTCTTGTGTCTGTTGGTTGTTTCTTTGGTAGGCTGAGTCTGCTCACCATGCTGCACAATCTATTTGCTCCACTGCCTGCTTGGCATCAGCCTGTCCATCTGTTTGTCTGTTTGCCTCCTGGCTCTCGCCTTGCTTCTCCCTACTGCCTCCACTTAAGCAGGGCTTTCTCGGCTGCAGAGATTCACATGTCATCCCGGCCTGCTGCACAAGACAGGCTACCGTGCCCGCTGCTGTGTACACCTCGACTAAAGAACTACCCGGCATCCATACGAATAGGCTGGCAACTTTGACAGGCCAGAGGTGAATATTACTATTCACATTCAAACATGCTCAGAGGTAGACTTGACGTGATATTTGGAGATGCCAACATTAGTAAAAACTTTATACTGCTGTATTTAAAATACTGTATGGTATACCTAGAGTCCAGATACAGATTCTGATATTTCATTTGCAGTGTCGGATGATACAGAGTACCAAACTGAAACTAAACTACTAACTGTGTATGGATGTGATATGATTAAGTCCTATTTTCAATTTTCTGACTCAAGAATTTAGGACAGAGAAGGAATTGGGTTTTATTAGCTTTATCATTTGGTCCATTTATTCTATTATTTTAGTTCTTTTTGTAGTTTTACAGATAAAACAACTGAAAAAGAATATACATACATTTCTGTATTGAAAACAGTTTTTTCACCCAAAAAGGAGTTCTTTTTTACCTGCCTCATTAATTTTTTTCATCGATTTGTTTTACTGTTCAGTTTGTTTTAGTGTGTTAAAATCTGCTTCTGTTAAAAATTAGGAATGATAACCTAAAAACAATTACTGCAATAAACATAATAAGCTCTGGTTAGTGACGACTGGGCTCACAGGCCCATTCAGGCACTGAAACCTTTTTTTGAACTCATATTTTAGCAATTTTTCCTTAATTGTAATAAGACAGCTGAAGAAGGACAGGGACTATAGAAAGGAGAGCGTTGAGATGAAATGCAGAATAGAGTTAAGGGTTGAAGTCAAACGTGGGTCAGCCGCAGTGAGAACTATGACCTTGGTAAATGGTGTGCTTGCTCTTCCAATGGGCCAAACTGGCACCCCTGAAACACTGATATTTAATGTTACAGTGCTTTATACAGAGTAGCTTGGACTCTCACCACATTCTTAAAAAAAGTGACTCTGTTATTGTTTGCTATGTAACTTAAATCAGTTCTTATTTGTGGCTCTATAAAAGGAAGTCACTTGTAAGACCTCCATGGTGGTGGTGATACAGAGCGACTTGCTATGAAGGCTATCGTTTTGGAGCAAAACAAAGAAATTATTAAAAACAAGTTGTTTTTATTCAGGACTTATAAATTACAGTATCATATTTGTGTAATGACAGCATAATCACTGTTACCCTATCCCTCATTTAAGACTGACTTGGAGGCATTTTGGATACTGGTATAGCTTTCCAAACAACTCTACTGTCTGTATAACCAGCAAAAAGCTAGAAATGTAAAGGAGGAAGGACTAATCTAAAATGTTTCTATCACAGACGAGAAGTTGCTGCGTTGCAGAGCTGTGATTTGTAGCTGTTAGCAGCCTTTTCATTTGAAGCAGACAGACTAAAGTACACAGTTCCCTCAGCCACTTTGTAGCTGTCACAGCCACTCTGCCCTCCGCGCTCGCCTGCAATGCTTTGACATTGTGCTGAAGAGAGCACAGGCGCTCTCATCGTCAGGGAATGACCCCCAGTGAGGAAACAGAAACTGGCTGGAACAAACGCGACTGTAAGAAATCTCAGTACACTGCTGGACTTGTCACATCTTCACATTGCTGGGTGTCAAATCCAGCCAAGTTTCTGCTCACACCGTAGAAAGGACAGCGTCTCATCAGTGTCTTCCCTGCCGCATCCAGCGAGGTGGACGCTCAGGTTGCCTGCTGGGAGAAAGACAAGACCTGGGTGTGACTCATGCCTACACTCTATCAGATGGGGGTCTTTGATATTCAGAGAGAGGGCTCCTTGTCACGGATTTAAAACCAGCCAGGAGCCAGGATCTGCGGTGGTGTGAGTGTGTGGGTGTTCACCTGCTTCAAACGCACAGGAGCGAGAGTGTGGGGGGGGGGGGAGGAGGTAGGCAGAAGCTTTCAAGAGTGAACTAAGTCAAAGAGAGGAGAACAGAGAGGGCGGCAAGACAATTCAGAGCCTAACAATAAGGCACTGAGAAGGTTAAGCAGTTCTGAACGCAGGGATTCGGATTCTGGCTGTGGGAGGTTTTAGTCTGAACCTTTCGCTGTGTGAACTGCAGTAAACAGCTCAATTTATATGCACATTTGAGTCCAATTACTTTCCTGAATTATGGCTGTTGGGACTCTTGATGTTATGAAGGCAACACAGAAATGGGTTGTGAAAGTATTGCAATCCAGTGTTAAGTTGGAGGAGTTTGGGTGCTGTTAATTTAGGAGTCCTAAACACACATACAAAGATAACTTTTGTAAGTACACTGAGTGTTAGGTGAATTCCTGCTACAAAGAATATGGTCCTAACCTGCATGCGTTCAGTTTTAATATCACATTTTCTCCTACTGCTCTGCACTCACATACAGCAGTCGATAGCATATCCGTCAGTTTTGTGTCAGTCTAGAAAGAGGCAAACAGTAACACCTTTAAACTGTTAAAAAAGTTTCCTCTTTCAGTAAGTTATCTCACAGCTAAATCAAGGCCACTCGTAACTCTGCATCACGTTAGTTTGAGCAATCCATCAGACTCCAGCGTGCTACTTACATCTGTTTTTTTTTTTTTTTTTAAACTGGGCTTTGGCTCTCATCCAAACTACCTGCAGCCAACTTTGTCAGGAGTGAAGCGTAATCCAAACTAACACCAGGAAATGACTCCGAAGCGCTGTGTGCTATAAGGAGACAGATGTCAACTTATAGTCGCCAGTGGATACTCGCCAGTGCTTTGAAAGTGTAGTAGGTCTAAATTCTTCATTTGAGACTTCACCATCCAGTCAAGTTACCGCTCCAATATTTGCTTTAAAGGGATATATTTTAAGTTCTTTTGCCTTGACAATACAAATTTAAGCTGAAGCTTTGTAGTCCTTGGTTGTCGTAATGTCGATAAGTGTCTCCGTTCACTGGCAGTGAAATATCTCACATGTCCAATATGCGGACAATATGAAACTGTATTCTGATTGAACAAAGTTGAAAACATGAGAGTGGATCATACTTGAAACATGGATGTTGCTGCAAAAAGCTTCACACATAACCCTGCAGCAGAATCACCACAGTATTAAGCATCCAAGACTGGTAGCACCAATTCATGACCAGACTAAATATTAAAAATGGCCATCATTTCCCCGCCTGTTCCCAGGTTTTGGGGTTGAATTGTGACATAACATGATTTCTTTTTTTCCCAGAACAATGTCATGTCAGGGTGAAGCTTTTGTCACTTGGACTTGTGCATCACCCTGCTCACCTACCTCACTGCACAAGCCTCAGCAAAACTTCAGATTGTGCAGAATTCATAGCCAGACTTCTCTATTAAGACAAATCACAAGTCTCACATCTCCCCTGTGTTAGCTACACTCCCCTGTTTCTTTTAGAATTCATTTGAAAACATTTATCATGACCATCATGCCTTACATGACCTGGCACAAGAATATACTTTATATATATATGAACTTACAAGCCCTAACTGCCCGAGAAGGCCTATTAGATCAACTGTAATTGCCCAGCAGACCATAGGAGAGTTAAGGTTGCAGTTACAGTAAAGTGTGATCAAGCTTTTGCTGTAATGGCACCTTTAGCTCTGGCACATTCTTCTTCACTATGTTCTTTGCTAAGCTGACACTGTTTCTGCTTTTAAATCCAATCCCAGGAAATATTTTAACAGACTTTACGTTTCAGCTGACGGCTAATTTTATTGGAGCTCCTGTGTGCATATTTTAACTTTATTTTCCTTTCAGTATTTCTTTTATTCATTCTTCTAACTGTATGCTTACATTCAGCTGATTTTTTTTAAATCTACCATTTTGATCATCACTTTAATTGTTTTTGGAAAGCACGTCGTGCTCCTGTCTT